CATCAAATTCTAGAAGATGTCAGTTTTTGGAAGTTGAGCTCTTAGATGGTAACAAATTTACAGAATGCATTATTTACAACCCAAGTATCAAAAAAATGTGAAGAATGAAATGACTTATCCCGCTTATGTTCTACTCAATGCAGGGAGCTGCTATGCAGTGATCCATGAAAGGTATCACATAGAGTGAGACAAGGAACTCATTCCTTTTGGAAAGAGCAATACCATTTGTACACAATTAAAACTCACAAGAATTTTTAAAATTGAGTCAATGTGAAAAAAAATTGAGCGAATGTGGGCCTCAATAAGCTTTCACTGGCTAATTGTAAGATGAAGCTTTACAGTTTCTCACATGAGTATATCCTCCTGCCACAGGAGAGACAACTTTTTGTTATCCGACAGGCTCATCACTTCCCTCTTTCTAGGAAACATGTCTAAATTCCTTTTCTACAATTGCTCATATTATATGATGTCAAGATCAATTATCACCTCATTCTCCCTCCTACAGAAATTCTAGTTTGTCCAGTAAGCTTTCTATGTCAAGATGACCAAATGAGACCTTTGCCCCGGTGGGAGGTTAAAGACACCTGCAAATTCTTTGTTTACTCCTCGAATTGAGAGGTGGGTCTAATTTCCCTTTCTGAATCTGCACTGGCTTTAGTGACCTACTTTGTGCCAACACAATGTGGCAAAGTGACTAGGATTCCCAAGGTTATGTCACAAGAAAATCTGCATCTTTCAGAACACTTGCCAGAACTCAGGTGCCATGATGTGAGGAAATCCAAGAAGCCCCATGGATAATAACTTGAGGTCCTAAACCAAAAGTCCAACTGAACTCCAAACCAACAGCCAGAATCAACTTACCAGTTATATAAGTAAACCATCTTGGAAGCAGATACTTCAACTGATTGTCAAGCTATTTTGCCCAAATTGCACAGCTGTAATCAATATAAGCTATTCTTGTTTCAAATCACTAAATACTGGGGTGGTTTGTATACTCAGCAATAGATAACTGGAACACCTTTTATCTCAATAATAACTCCAAACAGAAACACTGAACTCTGTCTTTGATGAAAATAGCACTAATTAATTAAGACAGGGGCAGATGGGAAGAAAATATTGTATCCGAGAGCCTGCAGTGAAAGACAGGGAAAAGAAGCAAAGTGATCTGTATCCACACCACAGAACTCCACAATGGATCAGCATCAGAACTGCAGAAGAAAGGAGGACAGGGCTGAAAACCAGGAGACTGTATAAACAGTGCTTAGCCCTGTGAGACAACTTCCTGCCCTAGTCCTAAAGAACACATCAACTGTAGTCTCTAAACAAAGAAAACCAAAGGTTCTAGACTCAGGACCTGTTTGTGCAGGCACAGTCAGACTTACCACAAAGTAGGTTAAGTGAAAGTCTACTAAGTAAATGAAGATTTCTAACCTGCCTTCCACAGCTTAGCTTTAGAATGTCAGCAGCAAAGTTTATAATCCCTAGGCAAGAAAATAGAGAAGACCCATCCCTAGAAAAACTGAACTGTCCCAAAGGAATGATGGATAGGAAGTGATACACAGAGGTTCCAATAAACCAGGTGGCCTGCCACTCCTGTACCTTGCCTCAACATACAAAGTTCCCATTCAGCTTTATGTACTTTATTTATATATTTATATAAACATATATATTTATATAATATAAATAGAAAAAGAAGGATCATCAGGCTTTGGGGAAACCTTCCAACAGGAAACAGAATAGACAAAGGGAAAAAAAAATGCCCAGAGTACTGAAAACTTGAAGAAACTGGGGGAAGTATAATACAAACTGCTTTTTGAAAATAAATATATGACAATGGAAAAACATTTTAATATCAGATTATAGAAGAAAAGTTGAAGAAACTGGATACAAAGTCAAATGAGATAAATATTAGGAGGAAAATTATAAAGAAAAAATTAAAGATAGGCTATAGATCCCAATATCAAAATAATTCCAGAAAGTAAGAGTAGAGAATAAAGATGGTAAATTGACACACAAAAAATACAAGAAAGTTTCCCAAAACTACAGGACACCAGGTTGACAAGTTTCCTGAGAGCCTAGCAGAATAAATTGTAAAAAGACCATAACTCAGACTTCCCTAGAGGCCCGGTGGTTGGGAGTATGCAGGTCAACGCAGGGGACACAGGTCTGATCCCTGGTCTGGGAAGATTCCACATGCCTCGGGGCAACTAAAGCCCATGAGCCACAGCAACTGAATCGCTGAGCTGCAACTACTGACGGCTGCATGCCCTACGGCCTGGGCTCTGCAACGAGAAGCCTGTGCAAAACCAGAGGGAGCCCAAGTACAGCAATGAACACCCAGCCCAGCCAAAAAATAAAAGAATAATAAAACTTGAGTTCTGATTTAAAAAAAAAAAAAAAGAAGACCCCTATTTCAGATAACGAATCTAAAAGCTTCTAGAAAAAAACCCAAAACGACCAAAAAGACTAACTAGAGAGGGCTCAGCATGGCATTGGGCTTCCCTGGTAGATTCGGCGGTAGAGAATTCTCCTGCAATGCAGGAGACCCAGGTTTGATCCCTGGGTCGGGAAGATCCCCTAGAGAAGGAAATGGTAACCCACTCCAGTATTTTTGCCTGGGAAATCCCACAGACAGAGGAGCCTGGTACAGACCATGAGGTCCCAAAAGAGTTGGACAAGACTTAGCAACTAAACAACAAAATCAAGAAAGAGGAAGATAAGGTATCCAAATCAGGAGAAAAACAATAGTGCAGAGGGTTTCTGAAATTAAAAAAAAAAAAACCACCAAATACAGACTGGAGTAGGAGCATGCAGGAATCCAGAGAGATGACCCCAAGAAAAAAACAGAGTTGATAAATTAATTTGTGTTACCAAGTGGAAAGTGATGCTGAGAAGTGTTTCACAAAACTGATAGAAAGAAGAGACTGAAGAAACTATACAAGTGAAAAAATGATTTGACTTCAACTTGCTGATTTTATATAGATAAAAAGGTTTTGGTATGTTAAATGACATGTAATTAGTGTCACAAAGGACAGAGGTATCAGTTACCACAAATGGGGATACTCAACCATCTATGGACATCGTTTCAGTAAATGGAATTTACTAGCGATGCTGCCATTCTGAGTTCTGGTTCCAGCTTTACTTCTAAGCATGTAAAATTAGGGAAGTTAACGATTTCTACGACCAGTGTGTTCTCTCGGAAAACTTCTGTTAGCCTTTGTCCTGCTTCAATTTGTACTCCAAGGTCAAACTTGCCTGTTACTCCAAGATCTCTTGACTTTTTATTTTTGCATTTCAGTCCCCTATGATGAAAAGGACATCTTTTTTTGGTGTTAGTTCTAGAAGGTCTTGTAGGTCTTCATAGAACTATTCAGCTTCTTCAGCATCAGTGGTTGGGGCATAGGCTTGGATTACTGTGATGTTGAATGGTCTGCCTTGTAAACAAACGGAATCATTCTGTCGTTTTTGAGACTGCATCCAACTACTCTATTTTGGACTCGTGTTGACTATGAGGGCTCCATTTCTTCTAAGGGATTCGTGCCCACAGCAGCAGATAAAATGGTCATCTGAATTAAATCTGCCCATTTCCGTCCATTTTAGTTCACTGATCCCTAAAATGTCAATGTTCACTCTTATCATCTCCTGCTTGACCATGTCCAATTTACCTTGATTCATGGACCTAACATTCCAGCTTCCTATGCAATACTGTTGTTTAAATCACTGGACTTTACTTTCACCACCAGACATATCCACAACTGGAGAAGGGGGCGACGGAGGATGAGATGGTTGGGTGGCACCACTGACTCAACGGATACAAGTCTGAGCAAACTCAGGGAGACAGTGAAGGACAGGGAAGCCTGGCATGCTGCAATTCATGACACCACAAAGAGCTGGACACGATTCAGTGACTGAACAAAAACAACAAACCATTTCTAGATCTGCAGCTTTCTACAAAATCAGCTATGAAGTTTTGCCTCATCAGCCATATTCACCTGACCTCTCAGCAACTGACTACCGCTTCTTCAAGCATTTCAACAACATCTGCAGGGAAATGCTTTCACGACTGGCAGGAGGCAGAAAATGCTTTCCAAGAGCTCGCTGAATCCCGAAGCATGGATTTTTTTTTTTTTTTCCGAAGCATGGATTTTAAAGCTACAGGAATAAACAAACTTATTTCTCATTGGCAAAAATGTGTTGATTGTAATGGTTCCTATTTTGAATAATAATGATGTGTCTGAGCCTAGTTATAATGATTCAAAATTCATGGCCCAAAATCACGATTACATCCGCACCAACCTAGAAACACGAAGATACAGGTTGATGGACAGTTTTTGCTCAGGTGTCAAAGGCCTTTTTCCCCCACAACAGTGGGTAAGTTTATCTTAATTCTCCTTTTTTCATTGGGGAATTATGTTTCCTTTAAACATGGTAAACTATTATTTTTCAAAAAATTAATTAGGCAGTTCTACTATTTTGGGCTCATAAGTGGTCCACCTATTTATCCCCCTTATTTATTCAGTGGTCTGCTCAGAAAGACTTATAAACACATAATGGACAAATAATGTTTCAGTTCTTTAATCTCACTGGCTACATGAATTTATCCTGATTTAGTCTGAGTTGTCTTATTGACTCTTTCCCTATTCTAAGAACATGATTATAATCTTTTTTTTTATTTGGCCGTGGTGGGTCTTCATTGCAGCACTGGGCTTTCTCTAGTTATAGTGCACAGGCTTAGTTGCCCTCCTCAGCATGTGACATCTGAGCTCCCCTACCAGCGATTGAACCCGCGTCCCTTGCATTTTAAGGCAGAGTCTTAATCACTGGACCACCAGGGAAGTCTCTATAATTATTTTTTATGATTCTAAATATTTTACCCTAGACCATGTATGATTTATTTTTTTACACTGGTAGTTTTGTTCCTCAGAGAAACTATTAAAATTTTTACCTTAATCATAATCTGTTTAAGGGATAATTAGCTATTTTTTCCCCACTGATCTTACTTGTGCAGTCTCTGCATGTTCCAGCATTTCTTCAAATTCCTGATACTCTTCATCATCTGGTTCAGCACCTGAGAGGCGAGCTGCCCTGGCCATGAAATATGGAGGTAGCTCTCCAATTGCTGTACCGATACCCTATGTAAAAAGAACAGAACACTTACATGAGATTTTCTCAACACAGTGATGCGAAGCAGATTAAACCTTTAATTTTCAATATCACCAAAAGCATGTTAAGATGTACATATTAGGAAGGAAAAGACATGCTACATGATCAGGAGGACATGAGTTTGAATCCTGCCTGACCTTAATACGGATCTACGCAACGCCTGACCAGATAGCATACATAAAATTCTCAGGCAATCCTGGGTACACTGCAGACACTAAATTAATATTAGTTCTCTAGCATCTCTATTTATATCCTGTGTTCTTATTTTTATATCTCTTTTCATTTTAATTTTAGAAATAGCTCACAGTTTTCTAGACTTTTGAAATTTTTTTTTAATTGAAGTTAGCTGATTTATAAATTTAGTTTCAAGTGTAAAACACAGTGATTCAAAATTTTTATAGATTATATTCTATTTAAAGTTATTATAAAGTATTGGCCTATTTTTCTTGTAGCTTATTTATTTTATACACAGTAGTTTGTACCTCTTAACCCACTATGGCTATCTTGCTCCCTTCTTCCCCTCTTCCCTCTCCTCACTGGCAACCACTAATTTTATCTGAAATTGTTATAACCCCTCATTTTTAAAAATTTATACAAAAATATATGTTCATACACTGTTAATTTTCTCAGTCTTCCTCTCCTTTTCAAATGATTTGCTAATGAGCACTTGATAGTATAGCTCTTAGATGTATGTTTTCTAGGAAATCTTCTTGTATTTAGGATGTTGCTTTAATCCGAATAGAACTTTTTTGTGTGCAAAGTTAACAAACTGTAGTCAGGAAGCCCCCTGAAATCTCAACATTAGGATGGATAAATTTTCACCGCAGGAAAAATGTTGATTTCCTCAGGACATTGAGTGACTCATGTTTCAGTCACTTTGTGGATTCTTGTTTTTGAAGAGAATTTTTTTTTTTTCCAATCGTCTTAGGATATAAGGATGATAACAAAGGTAAAAGAATCAGGAACTCGGTTTGAACTTAAATGGCTTAAATACAGGATAGATAATGCAAGAGACCAAGAGTACCCAGGAAAATTCTTAACTTTGAGCCACCCTTCTCTGCCCTGGATCATAGTGAATGAAAAAGCTTCAGTAGTTTTCAGAAGCAACTTCAGGACTTTTTGTTTGCTCTGTCCTATGGCTCTGCCTGCTAATGTGTTGATAAGAATCTTCAAGGAACTGTACCAAATTCAAGCATCCCGGGTTCACAGTGTTATACGCCAGAGTGTAAAATCAACAATCTCCAAGTTTAGCTGCATTATCTACATGCGAGCCAAGAGTTAGCAAAAGAATATAATTAAGTGCCAAAAGAATAAGACTAGTTAAATATCTAGTTAAAGAACAGAGAAAGGGGAGAGACATACACAGAGAAGGGTGCTGGAAGAAAGCATAAATCATATTCTTTGAAACAAGAAAAGTTAATTTTGCCTCCTCTGGAGGATGTTAGAGAACTAATTATTTTAAAAACTGGGAGAGAAACAGTCAATTATTTATCCTGTCTTATCTATATGGAATATAACTCAGGGTAACCAAATTGATGATAAGGAGAAGTTTCTCTTTACAAAAGTATTCCAGTCATTAACCAAAGAAAAAATGATGCAACTGGAAAGACCCCATTTTATAAACCCCAGGAAAATAATGGACTTATATAATAATGGTGTTAATGTAAACAGATAGCCAGACATTATTGCACTATGTGACAGAATACACTAGACCATAAAGTATATTCCTGCAAAAAAATAATTTTCCCCCATGTCTCTCAATCCAGCTATCAATTCACAGAAAACAGATAAATATATTTAAATAACACCAACTGGAATACAAACAGTGTAATTCAGACCATGGAAAACTATATTTGACAAACAATCCAGTTTCATCAACCAATACAAAGATGCTGAAAAGAAAAAGAAATAAACAATCAAAAAAATCTGAACTCTAATTGGATAACAGACTTAAAGAGGCTGTTTCTAAACTCTCTTAGGTGTGACAATGTTTTTGAAGCCCTAAGGTTGATATTTACAGATAAAATATGCTATGTTACCTGGGATATGCTTCAAGATAATTGTGAGTTGAGTGAGGAAGTGTCTAGATGAAACAGTATTAGCCACAAATGAAAGCTGGGAAAGCTGGGTAGCCATTAGTGAAGGCTGGGTGATAGGATATTGAGTTAATTATATAACTTCCTATACTTAATTTTTTAAGACAAAAAGTAAGAAGAAAGGTTAATTGCAACATTCAATTCAAAACATGAACTTCTCTTCTCAAATGTTCAACAGTTCTGAAAACAGTCATATGATTCAAATTCACGGCAAATTTTCTTAAGATTAAAAGGAAGTAATAATGAACTGAAATGAAATTAAGACCTACAAACTATTTTATACTTAGTTAATCATTTTCATTGTTCTATTTTAATTCTGTTCATGTTTTCCCATATTAGCAAGGAGATGGTGATCAGAAGTTAGTATTCTACTTTTTATGCATATAAGTAAAAAGGAAACATAGTCTTCCAGACAGGTCCTCTCAAGACACATTATATTCTAAACACAGAAGTTGGATACCAAAGACCATAATTTCATGATTCTTACAAATAATTTTATAATTCTTGCAAAATCAACATGAAAAAAACAAAACTAAACTGTGGAACACTATAAACTGTCAGCCTAAGTTTAATTAAGGGGAAGAAATGACTGGCTTCCTTTTTGCAAAAGAAAGAAAAGTGGTATTTAGTTAAGCAATAATTCAGAAAATCTTCTAAAAATTTTTGACTGTATATCAATTTATTATCTTGAAGTTCCTGTTTCTTGAATTGGAGAAGAGTTTAATATGCACGAAATATGCAAAACCAATAGAGAAACACAATAACTTCGTAGAGTATTAACTTTACAAAAAGATTTTTAGGAGGAGAAAAATCCTGAATTTTTGTACTTTCAAAAAGTTTTGTCAAGTGGAATCACAAGTAAATTACGAGCATCTTGCTTTTCTGTGTTAGGAATTATAAGTTTAATGCTAAAAATCTGGGAGTAGAAAATTTTATATATGCTGACTACTCAGAAGTAATGGTAGTTTGGTATTATCAGTATGTTAATAATCTTTAAAAAACAAAGCCATTTTTCTGTTAAATATTCTATCTACTATAAACATGAAATAGAGGTTAAAAGCCAAGTTTGGAGGGTAACTTGGAACCATTGAGAAATTTAAGGTTTTTACAGCAATGTTTAAAAAATTTATACCACTTCTAGTAAAATTATCAGAGTGTTTTACAAACAAAAAGAGAGAGAGAATGTGCATGCAATTCCCCTTAGGGTCAGTCTTAAAATGGCTTCAGGAAGGAATGAAGTTCTGATATACGCTCCAACATAGGTGAAACTTGAAAACATTGTGCTAACTGATGTAAGCCACACATGGCTTACATGTGTCATTCTATGTGATTCCATTTACATGGGGTATCAAGAAAGAATTGGCAATTTCACAGAGGCAGAAAGTTCAAAATTACCAGGGGCTGGGGAGAGTAGGGAATGAGGAGTTATTGTTTAACGGGTGCAGAGTTCCTGTTTGGGGATGACAAAAAAGTTCTGGAAGTAGATATTGGTGATGGTCAAACAACACTGTGAGTGTACTTAATGCCAGTAAATTGTGTATGTAACCTGTTACGTATATTTTACTACAATAGGAAAAAAAACCCAAAAAACAAAACCATGAATTAACAAATAAATGAATTTACACCTCCTCACTTTATACCTTATTATCTTTAAGGAGTAAAATCAGGTAGCAGGCCACTGGTAGGACTGAGAGACAGAGCATATCTTTAGATATTCCCTGAAACATTGCTCTCCATGGAGATGTCCCCTGAATCACAGACAAGGAAAAATCTTTGTACTATGCAACAGATTTCTCCTTCATAGCACTTATCACAATTAGTTTAAATACTTATATAATTTTCCCACAATACATATATATGCATTTTCCCGTAACTATTTCCCTTATTAGAATATAAAGGAGAAAGCAATGGCACCCCACTGCAGTACTCTTGCCTGGAAAATCCCATGGACGGAGGAGCCTGGTGGGCTGCAGTCCATGGGGTCACTAGCAGTCGGACACGACTGAGCAACTTCACTTTCACTTTTCACTTTCACACATTGGAGAAGGAAATGGCAACCCACTCCAGTGTTCTTGCCTGGAGAATCCCAGGGACGGGGGAGCCTGGTGGGCTGCCGTCTATGGGGTCGCACAGCGTCGGACATGACTGAAGCGACTTAGCAGCAGCTGCAGAATATAAAGCTCCATAAGTTTCACTCACTGTGAAATTTCCAACACTTGGAAGCTTAATAACTATTAATGGAATTTGAAATAATAAATGAAAAAACATATGGAGCATTACACAGAATGGGTGAATTTAACTCAGATGACCATTAAATCTACTACCATGGGCAAGAATCCCTTAGAATAAATGGAATAGCCATCATAGCCAACAAGAGTTCGAAACGCAGTACTTGGATGCAATCTCAAAGACGACAGAATGATCTCTGTTCGTTTCCAAGGCAAACCATTCAATCACAGTAATCCAAGTATATGCCCTGACCAGTAATGCTGAAGAAGCTGAAGTTGAATGGTTCTATGAAGACCTATAAGACCTTCTAGAACTAACATCCCAAGAAGATGTCTTTCTCATTATAGGGTGCTGGAATGCAAAAGTAGAAAGTCAAGAAATACCTAGAGTAACAGGCAAATATGGCCTTGGAGTACAGAATGAAGCAGGGCAAAGGCTAATAGAATTTTGCCAAGAGAACACACTGGTCATAGCAAACACCCTCTTCCAACACAAGAGAAGACTCTACACATAGACATCACCAGATGGTCAATACTGAAATCAGTTTGACAGATTATATTTTTTGCAGGCAAAGATGGAGAAGCTCTATACAGTCAGCAAAAACAAGACTGGAGTTGACTGTGGCTCAGATTATGAACTCCTTA